CTAAGCACCACCTTACACCAATGGATATCATGGCAGGATCCACAGATATTCAGGTATGTGTTTTAACCTATTATATTGGAAGACCAGCACTTGTACTAGTACTGCCTGAGAAGTATTTTTGTTCAATCCAATATTTAGCTCACCAGATAACCATCAGGCCTTTTGTAACAGTAACAGACCTCGGAACCAGATGCTTCAACCTCTGCAGGATACAGTATGTCTGCAGCCATTGTGGCATACGCATTCAAGCTGGCAGGTCAAGTGTGTATTTAAAGTAAATGAAAAGCCAATAACGCCCTTCCTTTTTGCAAAGAGCAGGAAATGGACAAAAAAAAAAAAAAAAAAACAAACAGGATCCTAACCTTTAGTGAAATATCTCTCAAATTCCTGTTACCGAGGCACAGCAGGAAGCAAACAGTGATCTCAAAAGGCAAGGGACATCTCTTCAGACGACAGTCAGAAGGGATTTCCTATTGGAAGATGTTACCACATTCTGTTCTGGCAACAACTCAGAATGCTGGATGGCCATCAGTGACCATGGCCATCAGTACAAAAGGGGAGTGAACGTCCCCAGCTGAGATACAAACCACAATAAAAACCTGACAGATATTAACCCCCCTGCACTATTCAAAAACTACACTTTAGCTCCATTGCAGAAAAACTCTTGTGAAGGCCTTATCTCAGGGGGAGCAATTGTGATTAGCCAGAAAACTCATTGTAGTTGCCCAATTCTCATCCCTTGCAGAGATCAGTCAGGTTTGCATAGGCTGGAGAACCCAACCACCATACAAAATATCTCCTGAACAGACCCTTAGGCTCCATGCACACGTTTTTTTTTTTTTAAGCTCCTAGAAGCAGGTATTAGGAGAACACTATTCAGCTTCTAGGAGCAGAAAAAAAAAATGCTATGTATACATGCACACTACTTTAGGCTATTAGCATTTTTTGGAGCAGGAAAAAAAAAAAAAAAAAAAAAGCTAAAAATGCTCCAAAACAACTTTTTTCCCCCCACTACATGTACTGTAAAAACGCTAATGCTCCCAAGAACGTTATTACCAATGTTTAGCTTTTTTCAGCTTAAAGCGATACTAAAGGTTCATTTTTTTCCTCTGTAAAACAAACCTGTGTATACCTGCCTTCTCTGTGTAGTGGTTTTGCACAGAGCAACCCAGATTCTCCTCTGGTCCCCTGCCAGCACACCTCCTGTCGGTGGTGCCCCCATAGCAAGCAGTTTGCTATGGGGGCACCCAAGCAGGCGTGTTATTGAGCCGCTGCTCCGTGTGTCCATTCAGAGCTGTGGCTTAGCCCAACACCTCTCCCCTTATTGGCTCACTGGCTGTGATTGACAGCAGTGAGACCCAATGGCTCATGTTTGCTGTCTCAGCCAATGAGGAGGCAGAGACAGGATAGCCGACTGTCATGCACATCGCTGGATCGCTATGGGGCTCAGTTAAGTATTGAGCGGGCTGGGGGCACTGCACATAGAAGGCTTTTTACCATCATGCATAGAATACATAAAGGTAAAAACCTTGAGCCTTTACAACTTTAGCATTTTTTCTTGTTTTTTTAGTGTGCCTTAATTGGCCAGCTCAGGTAAGTCATGTTCATCGGTATCCAAGAATTACTGGATATACATATTTGAGGATGAAGGCCAAGAGGATTGTTTTAGGCAGTCAGTTCAATACTTACTCATTTTTGACAGCACAAAAATGGTGCTCTATAATAAAATGATATATCCACCCAAAATATATAGCTGGAGCATTTGGGCAAAGTCTGACCTCATTAGGTAATTGTCCACTAAATCTTCCCATGAGAGATCTGCTCAATTTTATGCTCAATAGCAATGTCACAAGGCCTGAAATTTATGCTAAAAAAGTCGACAGATTAAAAATCTTTTTTCACTTTTATTTCTCTAAAACCCTTAAATTAAATACATGTTGGAAATAACGTGTTTAAACAATTTTAGCATTTGCTCCAACTACCCAAAGCTGCCTTCCTGTGCCCTTGGATATATGATCTCTAGTGCCTCTCTACACAAGGTCAAAAAGCCTCCGACACATTAATGGGCGGTTAAGACAAGCCACATGAAATCAATACCTGTACTGAAAGACAAAAAAAAGGAAAGGGAAGGTTAGGAGCTAGAAAGATATTCAATATGGTAAACAGATGACATAGCAAATTAACAAGCCGTCTTGCTGGAACATTCTCCAGTACAAAAAAAAAAAAAAAAAAAAAAAAAAAAGAGAAAGGAGTCACATTAGTAAAATATATGAATGCATACACAAACAGTGCCCCCACGGAATGAAATGATTAAATTTAAAAATTAATGTATTTGGCATACATGTAAACCCAGTCATAGATAAACTCTAGGCAGATTACAAAAAGCAGTAACCATAAATTCATTATCAGAAAGCCTGCCCTGAGAAATGTGATTGACAAAAAAAAGACAAAAAAAAAACAAAACAAAAAAAATACACCAACAAAAATAAACATGCAGTTAAAGCCAACCTAGTGTTTATCAGTTCTGGTACTATTAGCAACAAACAGGTGCCCGCACCTATGTTAGGAAAATAATAGACTGGCACTTTGAATATATTGGTTGAAGGAGGGCACCTATAGGTGCATATGCATAACCAGCATCTTGAAATGCAATTGCAGTACCTTCGTACATCACCACTACTCTTCTTGCCTTTACCATATCATATAGGTATGGCAGTACTCTATGGGACGTTTTCTTGCTGCCACATGTTGGTCACAGCGATATGTGGTATCTGAGCTAAACAATTTGCATTAATATATGCATTTATGTACCTAGGTTACGTTACTTCATTTATAAGACCAATAGCTATTATACAACATGTTAACACAATTCCATAGTGATTTAAAATAGAACAGTGTAGATGCAGTAGAATAGCTGCTGGTCATTGAGAGGTGGTGTAATCCAGGTATATAAGAAGATATAAGTGAGATGTGTTAAACAAACCAGCACAAGGAGAGAGGAGCACTGGCATAATTAGACACAGGATTCTAATGCATCTAGTATTTATAAAGAAAAAAAAGAAAATAAAGTCTAAAGCAAAAAAGGACAACAATTTTTGGTAGGAAAATCATTTTAAGGCATGGAAAGCTATTTATAGGACAGAGAATATACAAACCCTAAGCCAGTAAAAAACAAAAAAATGATATACTTAAAAACAAACATAATAAATTTGGTCATTGAGAGGTCAAAATATATCATCCACATTAAATTGACCATTAAAGTGTCAATATTTGTGGATGGTATAATTATATTTAATTAAAAAAAAAAAAATTACAAGTACACAGTGGTCCAAACTAGGATTTTGATTTGTTTTCGATGTTGGGTTATATTCATATTTAATATTATACCATTGCACTTCTATGGTAGAAATATGGAAAGGTCTCTTCACAGTAAGAGCTGCGAAAATGTGGACTAGACTTGGTTCTGGCCAGCTCAGTGGATTGCAAAAAAAAAAAAAAAAAAAAAACAACCCTGGATTCTGTCCTAGATACACACAATATAATTGGATACTAACATTTAGAAGCAACGTTGATCCAGGGGATATCCGATTGCCTCTCGGGGAAGGAATCAGCTAGAAATGTTGCAGGAGCAAATTGGATCATGCTTTGCTGGGTTTTTTTTGCCATCCTCTTGATCAGTGGTGGGTATAGGATTAGAACTTTTTTTTTTGGGTTGAACTGGATGGACTTGTCTTTTTTCAGCCAGACAAACTACGTAACAATGTAACTATTCAACTATGGCCACAAGGTCTTGACTCTTGGCCCAATTTAATTTGGTATGGGTGATCGATTTAGAACACTAGAATACAGATATTTACAACCTGCATTATTTATGTGTAAGCAGAGTAGTATGGCAAATGTAAGGTTTTTAGATTTTATAGTTTAGAGTTTGTATTTTGTACTTTGTTGTCTAAATGGTTTATATACCTAATAAAGTGTACTTCTACATACAATTGTGATTTGCTTTTTTTGGATGTTTGCATCCCATTGTCCAGTTTTCCACATAAAGGACAGTGTGCAAATTTAGAAAGCTGCAAAAATTGCCATCTAACACGTTTCACACACTGGGTGCATACTCAATGATCTGATGAATAAGCACCCAGCATGCGAAATACAGTATGGTTCCTCTGATGTCGGATTGTTAGTGCACCTTACATGTTTAATAGATCTCTGATCAAGCAGTACCTGGGACTCATTTAATGCAATTTTTGGTGCAGCAGAACCAGGCAGGGTCCAGGAACCATGTGTTATTTCTGCTGAGTGAATGAGAAAAACAACCTCCCTTGCAGCAGCGGGAAAGTAATTAACCGCCTCCCGCCAACCATATAGTAAAATGGACGCAAGATGGTTCTCTTGTTCTGGGAGGACGTCATATGACGTCCTCCCATTCTAAACGAGCATGCGTGGCTCTGGGAGCGCGGCGATCGGCAGTGCGTTGTGTCCCTCAAACACAGCGGATCACCAATCAACAGAAAGAGCCGAAGATGTCGGCTCGGTCGTGTGATCAGCTGTGTCCAATCACAGCTGATCACATGTAAACAGGGAAATGCCGGTTATCAGCATTTCTCTCCTCACGAGCTGTCACGCTGAGAGCTAGAGAGGAGAGGGGAGCCGGTAATCGGCATTCCTCGGAGAGGACATGTACACAGATCAGAGCACTGATGATCAGTGTGCCTTGATGATCTGTGTAGCCCCAGCTGTGCCACCTGTCAGTGTCCATCAGTACCACATTTCAGTGCCATCAGTGCCGCCCATCAGTGTGCATCAGTGCTGCCCAGTGCCACCTAACAGTGCCAGTCAGAGCTGCCTATCAGTGCCACCTATGAGTGCTGCCTTTCAGTGCCCATCAGTGATGCCTGTCAATGCCCATCAGTGCCACCTACCAGTGCCTCCTCATCAGTGCCCATCAGTGCAGCCTCATTAGCGCACATTAGTGAAGAAGAAAAATCAGTTATTTACAACATTTTATAATAAAATCTAAGAAAAAACAAAAAAACTTTTTTTCTCTAAATTTTCAGTGGTTTTTGGTTTAAGAAAAAAATAAAAAAACCCAGAGGTGATCAAATACCACCAAAATAAAGCTCTGTCATAAAAGAAAAGATAAAAATTTCATATGGGTACAGTGTTTCATGACCGCGCAATTGTCATTCAAAGTTCAACAGCGCTGAAACCTGGAAATTGGCCTGGGCAGGAAGGGGGTATAAGTGCCCTTAAGGCTAGTGGTTAAATGTAAAAAAGCTTCAATACAGGGTAGGTTGATACCAAAAGCAAACTATAATCTGAAATTAGTTGGCACAACATGTACCCTAAAAATACATGCAAGTGCAACCAAACAAAATACAGTATATTGTCAAAAGTATTGGGAGGCCTACTTTTACACACACATGAACTTTAATAGCATCCCAATCTTAGTACGCAGAGTTAAATATGGAGTTAGCCCACCCACTGTCCACAAGGTTTAGGAGTATGTCTATGGGAATGTTTGACCATTCTACCAGAAGCGCATTTGTGAGGTCAGGCACTGATGTCGGATGAGAAGGCCTGGCTCACAGTCTCCGCTCCAATTCATCCCAAAGGTGTTCTAAAATTGGGTTGAGGTCAGGACTCTGTGCAGAACAGTCAAGTTCCTCCACCCCAAACTCACTCATCCATGTCTTTATGGACTTTGCTTTGTGCACTGGTGCGCAGACTTGTTGGAACAGGAAGGGGCCATCTTCAAACTGTTCCCACAAAGTCGGGAACATGAAATTGTCCAAAAATGTCTTGGTATGCTAACGCCTTAAGAGTTCCCTTCACTGGAACTAAGGAGCCAAGCCCAACCCCTGAAAAACAGCCCCACACCATAATCCTCCCTCCACCAAACTTTACACTTGGCACAATGCAGTCAAGAAAGTACTGTTCTCCTGGCAACCGACAAACCCAGACAAGTCCATCAGATTGCCGGACAGAGAAGTGTGATTGGTCACTCCAGAGAACATGCCTCCACTGCTCTAGAGTCCAGTGGCGGTGTGCTTTACACCACTACATCCGACACATTGCACTTAGTGATGTAAGGCTTGGATGCAGCTTCTCAGCCATGGAAATACATTCAATGAAGCGCTCTACGCACTGTTGTGCTAATCTGAAGGCCACAAGAAGTTTGGAGGTCTTTAGCTATTGACTCTGCTGACAGTTGGCAACTTCTGCACACTGTGCTTCCGCATGTGCTGTCCACGCTCTGTCATTATACATGGCCTCCCACTTCGTGGCCAAGTTGCTGCTGTTCCCAGTTGCTTCCACTTTGTTATAATACCACTAACAGTTGACCGTGGAATATTTAGTAGCAAGGAAATTTCACGGATGGACTTATTGCACAGGTGGCAACCTATCACGATACCACGCTTGAATTCACTGAACTCCTGAGGGCGACCCATTCTTTCATAAATGTTTGTAGAAGCAGTCTGCATGCCTAGGTGCTTGATTTTATATATCTGTGGCCATGGATGTGATTGGAACACCTACATTCAATGATTTGGAGGGGTGTCCCAATACTTTTGGCAATATAGTGTAGGTAATAAATATTAAAAAGACTGGCTTATATTTTAATTGAGAAAAGCATTTCTTAAAAATTAACTGGCATGAATTTAATCATGCCTGCAGACTAACCCTTTCACCATGGGTTTTCAATTTATAATCTCTTGCTGCTCGACTTGTCCATCTTCGTGCCTCTTTATCCAACACATTCTCTGCCTCTGGACCTTTAATGAGTGTTTCTAGCTTTGACACCTGTCAAATATACATAGAACAGAGAAAGCAATTAAATCGCAACAGCAAACCCTTCAAAAGAACATCACTGATATGAGGCAAAGGTTCCATCTGAAAAATCTCATGACAAAGATATGTAATAAATGTCAGCCCAGTAAAAATATTATATACCAGGTTTACGGTGAGAGATGGCAGTGCTGCACGTGCATAAACTTTATGCTCCAACAAGCCTTTTAAATCTTGTTTACATTGGTATTAGTGCATCTCTATATACAGATGATAGGCTCTAGGATACCGAACAGATTCTGGTTAAGAAAATCTAATGTCTGTGGGTCACCTAGAGATGATGCTGGTTGAGGCTTGTCAGAGGAAAAGCAATCTCACAAGTTTGTAAACCAGCTCAGGTGCCTTTTTGTTTTATCATTACCACCAAAATTTCCGGCACTGGCTGGGGTAAGGTCAGAGGTGTGTCTGCATGTCTGATCTCTGTCTACGGGGGTAATGAGGACCTGCAGTTTACCTCCTGATTTGCATGCAACAGGCTTCAAGCAAGTCTTGTATTTCCATAGACTTGTAGAGGATTGCAAAAGCTGCTTGAAGCAAACGAAAGCCCATTGACACAGGCCCTAATTGTAGTAAAGGCCCAGAGTAACTAAAAAGGCCCCCCATAAACAGATGTCATGCATAGTAAGATGCATTTAATGGACTAACGATTATGGAGCTTCAGGAGAGAAGAAACAGTGAAAACACACACATTATAATAAAGAGCTGTTAAATATAAAGGATTTATACTCTTGTCACCACTCCCATCATCCTTTACTCCAACAACCACACATTTCATGCAGGTGCTTGCTTTCTTCCCCCACACTAGGGAGATTTCCCCTCTTCCTGTCCCTGGGTTACATTGCTACTGAATAAAGGTTAATGTCCTAAATCAAGGTACAGCAATAAAAAGGAAGACCGTTCTAACTCTTCCCCACTATGAAAATTACAGGAATTGGGATTTAAAACTGAGAAAAAATTAGCCCAAAGGGGCATATTTGTAAAAAGAGTGAATGCGCCAGTCACCAAATATCTACAGCAGGTAAAATTTTCCTGGTGCATAGGCTACACATTGCAGGTGATTACTGACCACCTGTGAAAGTTTGGTGAAGATCACATTCACCGCTTTCTAAATATACCCTGAAGTATTAGGGATCAATAAAACCTTATACAGTGGAATTCCACCCAAAAGGGGAAGTTCAGCTCTAAGGCCTCGTCCCCCACTTGCTGTTAAGGATTGGCACCTTTAGGGAGCGGGTACCTAATTTTGACAGGTGCCCGCTTCCACTGTGATTGCCTAGGCGATTGGAAGCCAAAGTGGTCTTCCCTTCTGAAAGTCTTCTGGGATACGTGACATCTCCCCGAACACTAAGGGACCATTCACAAGGCGCAGCACTACTCACGCATGCGCAGTGTGCACCCAGCTGTGACACTGCAAGCTGTCACAGACGGGTGCCCACACTAAGATGCCGGTGTCAGAGAGAGGACAGCCGGTGAAACAGGCTGTGGTGAGGACAACGCTAGATCAAGGGACAGGTGAGCATTTTTCAAAAGTCAGCAGCCACAGTTTTTTTTTTTTTATAAACTGGAGCTCTGTTTTAAATATCCCAATTTAAAGACAACCCGTATCTTGTAGACAACAATGCTGCCCTGAAGGAAGGCAGGAAGGCGAGGATATTGACTTTGATTAAAAATATTTGAGCCAGTGGTAACAGACTGCTGTATTTTAGCATTCTATGGAAATAATCCAATATTACATTTTTTTTTTCCTCATATAGGGAAAGATAAGTGAGCACTGGGATTAACTGTGGAAGTTAGTATGTACAGTACACCTTTATTACTGTGATCCTTTCCATAGTCCTATGCCACATACCTTATCTGTCCCAGCAGGGTGAAACTGCTGAATAGGTAACAGGGAGAACAAATTGGTATCCTTCAGAAAAAGCTGTAAATTTTGTTGCCGAGAAACCTACATATGAAGGAGAAAATTAAATGCATAGATTAAACAGTAACCTGCTTTGCCAGTAAAATCCATTTTTTTTTTTTTTTTTTTTTACCAAAAAGTTTGCATTTATTTTAAAGGGTTATAAGCAATCTACTGCCAATTACTCATCTCTGAAAGACTATGAAAACAGCTTTTTGTAGTTTCCAGGCAACATGCCAACTCTGGGGCAGTTACAGCAAAGCTTAGCCAGTTAAGAGTCAGAGCCTTTTAAGCATTCCATCTGAAATCACAATGTGGCTGGTTCACAGAAGACTTTAGATATCGATACTAGAGTGGTTGTAAACCCTTACCTACATTCAGTGAAGTGACTGGCCTCAGGTGATACACAAAAAAAAAAAAAAATCTTACGTAGGAGGATTTGTGTTATCCGTTTATTAACAGTCTACATCTATCATCTACATCTGTTCAAAGTGCAGAATTTATAAAGCTTGTCAGAGTTCAGAGGGGGAAAAAAAAAAAACAAAAAACAAAAAGCTTAGTGAAGATAGTCCCAAGAGCTGATTGGAGGGAAGGTAACAGAAGGGATCGGGGCCCCAACCTTCCTTCACACACCTCACAGAAACAGTGCTGAAACTGTCAATCTGCTGGAGGTTACTCCTGTGTCACCATCTTTCTTGGTGTCAGGAAAACTTGTCAGAAGTGATTCATACCGATAACAAAGGAACGAAGCAGAACACAAAAGAGACACTTGGTGCTCTTGATTGAAACAAGTGCTATAGAGAGATATGCTTTGTTCATATTTAATGTCTGAGGTTTACAACCACTTAAGTGTAAAATAACTGCCTCCAAGCCACACAAATATACCAGGTGGAGGCACTGAAAGCAGCAGATTCAAGTGTACAATGCATGAAATATTTGTCCAGGTTTAATCAAGGTTTTAGACTTTCACCCTAAGCCTTAACTTAACCTCTTTCAGCTGCTGGTCACACTTAAAAAGGCCCCATCACCAACTTAAAAAATGGTTTATTGAAAATACCAAGGCTGCAAGTATATACTTAAACAATGTTAAGTTCACTTTCAATGTGTCTTTGAACTTACTAGCCAAATGGATTTCTTCAGAAGAGTCAACTTCCTAGCACAGCCCCCTCCTTTCTTGCACATCCTAGCCCTCTCCTCTTCAGGGAGCGTCTAATTACTGTCTGCTGGCTAAGCTACTACTCCCCTTTCTACATAACCTTTAAAAATGTAGCTGCCATGGGCAAAAGGGAATACTATAGAGAAAATTGTAGCTCAGTCTGTTAGAGCTGTTGACATCACATCCAAAACAGCAGGGCTTGGCAGCAGTCTCGGGGCTTTCACAGGTAAACATGTACAGCATACATTAAACTCACATAGAATCGTATGGGAAGATGGGACATCTGACATTATTATTATACAGTATTTATAAAGCGCCAATAGTTTGCTCAGCGCTGTACATTACAGAGGGGGACAGAACATGTGACAGAGCAATACCAATACAATGCAAAACATGAAGAGATTGAGGGCCCTGCTCTTTCGAGCTTACAATCTAGGAGATATAACTTCTGGGTAGTGCAGGAGTGAACAGAGGGCACCAACTCCCCTCTCTACATGGATGCAATGAAGACCACATTTAGTAGGCCAGTGTTTCAGCTTTTCCAGTTGTGGCACCCTTTAATATGCAAACTCACAAGGCACTTTAATCCCAAACCATTTTTCTTGGCCTAAAGGAAACAGACACCTACACTGGATCATGAGATCACCCTCTCCTGGGTGCCACATTGGCAAGTCCCTCCTTCACATAGTCAGTCCTCCCTCCACACCAGGGTCTCACCGTTCACTTTCAGAATCATTCCTTAACCCCCTAAACACCATAGTCCCCTCATCACATAAGAGCTTCTTCACATTAGGTCCACTCAGTCACATCAGAGTCCCCATTACTATAGAGTCCTCTGCCCCCCCCCCATCACAATAGTCCTACCTTCAAATCTCCACCATGGTTGTGGCATCACGGCACAGGAAGTGAGGCAGAGCAGGTCTGGACAGAAGTAGTACGTCAGTCTTCTGGTTAACATTCAACCTGGATCAATGCCCTTCATTTCCATAATGCGGCAAGCTGCCCACCAGTACCATAACATATTCCTTGAGGGGTCCTGGTCAGCCCACTTGCACCATGGAAACGAATAAGGTGATGTGGTAGATAAGGGCACTGTTCAGCCATGTTAACTCTGCATTACTGGGACTATGCAGTGCCCCCCAGCCCCTCAGATGTCACTGGTGGTGGTGGTGTGTGGGGGGGGGGGGGGGTTCAAATGAAATCTATATCTGTACGAGAACCACAAAAATACTTCTTGTAGATAGTGGAATGTTGTAATTAGTAGCTGATACCAAAGCCAAATCAGAGGAGGCTTAAATTAAAGTGGAAGTAAGGCTAATTATATGGGTTGTTAAAAACATTCCTTCCCTCCTCCCAATGCTGCAGAGCCTTTATTAAAAAAAAAAAAAAAAAGGAAGAAGGCCATGGAGCTCTCAGCTCTGAATTCCCAAAGTCACGTCATCTACCTACTCCCATTGACCCCTTTTGTGGCACTCTCCTTTCCCCTGCAGCCTCTGCACTCTGACATAGGGGAGCAGGAGCATCTGTTATGTGACAGCACCAGAGTGGATAAAAGAAAAAAGATATTTACATGGCTTTTATGAAAACTATACAGCATATGTAGGAGCAGGAGCAAGGGAAGGTTAACACTTCTAGTAAGCCTTTACTTCCACTCTAAACTACTAGATTAGGACACCTTACACTCGCCTTCCTGGCTAGGGGTAATACATAGAACTGACCCTTTGCAGCTTTCTTTAATATTTCAAATCTAATAGGCAATTTGAGAACATTTATGGCGGGTTTCCAGTTTTCCTGTAGCTTTTTTCACTTCACTCATAATACAGATGGTTCAAGATGCAGAATGCAGCAGCTGATGCTACATCCTACCTGTAACTAAACATTTCAGCAGGGTCTATTTTACCTGCATGTATACTACTGCAAGGAGTGACTAGGGGGGGTTGTAGTTCAGACAATAGCTGAGAAGGTAGAAAGCACTGTTTGGGATTTCAGTTCACTGCACATGCAGTTACAAGGATGCAAGATTGCAAAAGCAAAATACTGTTGATCTGCCCGTAAAAGTACAGAATGTACTTAAAGTGGAACTACATTGCATCTGAGCACCATTTAATTCATTTTTTAATAATAAATGCAAATTCTCCCATTTATCCATGTCCCCATGCTTTGAAAAACATTTCTCGTTGTTCCATCTTGAGAAAGGGCAGATGATTCGTGATTCGTGCAGCATCGACTTCCTGGAATCCATCTGCCCTTAGTTCAGGGATACAAGCAGGAAGGTGTGCTTAGGTGAAAAAACCCCTCCTCCCCTCCAGAAGACCCCTGGGATATATTACATCATGTGTCTAGTCAAAAAAGCCAGGAAGTAACAAAATTATTTATAAAAAAATTGTTTAAATATGTTCATATCCATTTACTAATGCTAGCAGCAAAAAGTATTAAAAATAGTCAATGTTGATTGAGAGAGTGAAGTTCCACTTTAAGTAAAAAAAAACAAAAACATGCAGCCACTTTAACCACCTCCCGTCCGGCCGTTGTATATAAACGGCCGGACGGTGGCACTGCAGGGTCGGGTGGCCGTTTATAAACGGCCTCCCCACACCCTGCTTGTGCACGCTCCCTGGACACAGTGAAACACTGATCATCGGACGGGACCTCTGTACAAGATCCCGATCATGTGATCGCTGATTGGCCAATCAGGGATCACATGCAAAGTAGTAAACAAGATGTTACTTGTGACATTGCTTACTACGTGTGAAATCTGAATAATCACAGAGGTCACATGGTACAAGCTGTGACCAATCACAGCTCACTCAGTACTTCTCAATGGCTGCAAGAATGCAGACAGAGAAAGAGAAATGATTGCTTTTACACCCATATAGGATGTAAAAGCAATCAGTGTAAAAAAAAAAAAAAAAAAAAATCTTCCTCACCCCTCACAAGTAGTACAGTGTCACCATGGTGACACTGTACTGCTAGGGTGACCGTATGTAAAAAAATATAAAAAAAATAAAATTTAAAAAAAAAAAAGTTTAAAAATTATAATTTTTGGTTATAAACTAATTTGGCTTTTTTTTTTACTAAAAAGATAATGGAATAAATTTTGGCCAGGATTTATGATGAAATATTTATTTGCTAAATTTTATAAGAAAAACACGTTTCAAAATTTTTGGACTTTCATTTACATAGCAAAAAAAATAAAAATCCCAGCGGTGAATAAATACCACCAAAATAAAGTTTTATCTGTCTCAAACAAATGGTAAAAAATTCATATGGGTACAGTGTTGCATGACCGCACAATTGTCATTCAAAGTGTGATAGCGCTGAAAGCTGAAAATTGCCCTGGACAGGAAGGGGGTAAAAGTGCCCGGACAGGAAGTGGTTAGGGACTAGTAAGCTGCACGATAACATTTTTTTTTGGCTTTGGTGTACACTTAAATTTTGTCCTTACATATGCTTTTTACATTGTACATAAAGCTACACAAGACACATTGCCCTTAAGAAAGAAAGCTGCAAGGAAAAAAAAAAAAAAAAAAAAAAAAAAAAAAAGAAGAAGTGTTGTGCCATGGCTTAAGCCCCAATGCAGCAATGAAGGTTGACAGTTTCTGAAAAGCTGAAAGCAGTGTTAGATCTGGTGTTGGCCTATAACCAAGCATTCTACTGCAGAGGTGCATGAAGTTCCATTTTATGGAGTGGCTTCAACTGACAGATTACACTGTTCAACAAATTTTTATTTTTTGCCAGTTTTGGAAACAAAAGGATCCATTTCTTAATGAATTTCACATTCTGAGTTCAAATATAACAATTAAATTTGTCAATTGGCTCTAGTTTTTCTGTAAACGGAAAGTTTTCTACTATAGGCGTAATGACTACATAATGCACAATAATTATATAGAAAGATGTCTTTCCACAAATATAAAGCAAGTGATATTGACTACATAACAAAGCCTAAATGGCATAATATATTGCATAGGATTACCAAGAAAAATTATAGCCATAAGCTAAGTTGAATCATTTTAATACTTAGGATTCTCACTAGTTTTGTCTTCAGTTTGTGTCGGTTTTGCTTCTCTTGGCTTTTCTCTTGTATTCGAGGAAAGGGCTATCTCTTACAACTGCACGTGACTACACGCTTCAGGTTCTTCCTCATTTGACTCAACCACGAGGATTCTGGTGCTTTAGGAATTGGTAGCCCCTCTCCATGAGGAACTGGATGTATTGCCGATGGAATATTTTGGATAGTGCACAGATAACTTTTTCTTCTTATTTAGCCCTTTTACAATTGGAGGCACCATACAAAAGTGACAATTACTAACATGATCTGTTGGCTCTCTCCAAATCATTGGCACAGCGAAAGGCATAGATGCCTTTTTTCCATTCAACCATTGCTCCAGTGCCGTCCCACAAGAATTGCAGCATATATGTGGTGCCCAGCTCTTGTCCTGGTCTCCTATCTTGCAGCCAAAATACAAGTTGTAGGCTTTCTTAATCATTCCTGTTATCCTCCTTTTTTGTGAGATAAAAGTTATTTCACCGCAGATATAGCAGAAATTATCTGCTTTATTCACACAAGTTTGAGGCATTACTGAGTAGCCTATATAAGCATAAAACGAAATGTAAAGACGCTGTCGAACTACAATCAGCTACAGATACTGCAGCTTTTATGCAGTGAAGTGATGCAATTAAAGGCTAATATTGCATCATCTCAGTATACATGCAATTTTCTATTGGTCACCAGTATCAATTGCGCAATATGCAGCTGAAGTTGCATCATAATTTTGAATGGCTTACGTCATTAGATGGGTGAAAATATCATGGAAACTAGAGCCAATCAACATTTTTTAGGGTCATTTTCGTTTTCAGCACCCCAAAATTATGTAAGATTAGCCAATTTTATGCCCAAAACTTTTTACCTGTTGAACAGTGTTATAGCCATTATAGAAGATTCTTTAATTAAAATGTAACTAGGAAATCTTACTTGAAGTGAAGCCTCCAGGTTGTCTGCAAAACGTTCCTGTGTTGACTTACAGATGTTAAGTTCAGTCTTGTTGATTAGTGAAAGGTAATCCCGAAGTCTCTCATAAAGATCCCCATCTAAACACTAACAAAAAAAAAAAAAAAAAAAATTGTGGTATGAAGAAAAATTGTATGCATTAATACAATCAGAAGGATACTGGTTGGAAATCAAAGTTGTAGCTTTTTTTTTTTTAAACGCATGGCATGTTCCCAATAAAAAGAAAATTACATATGTATATACATACAGTGCATACAGAAAGTATTCACAGCGCTTAACTTTTGCCACTTATGTTACAGCCTTATTCCAAAATGGATTAAATTCATTTTTTTTCCCCTCAACTTTCTACAAACAATATTGCATAATGGCAATGTGAAAGAAGTTTGTTTTAAAATCTTTGCAATTTATTAAAAATAAAAAAAACATGTACATAAATATTCACAGCCTTTGCCATGACACTCAAAATTGAGCTCTGGTGCATCCTGTTCCCACTGATCATCCTTGAGATGTTTCCACAACTTGACTGGAGTCCACCTGTGGGAAATTCAGTTGATTGGACATAATTAGGAAAGGCAGAAATCCGTCTATATAAAAAAAGGTCCCACAGTTAACAGTGCATGTCAGAGCACAAACCAAGCCATGAAGTCCAAGGAATTGTCTGTAGTCCTGAGACAGGATTGTTTCAAGGCACAAATCTGGGGGAAGGATACAGAAACATTTCTGCAGCATTGAAGGTCTCAATGAGCACAGTGGTCTCCATCTGTAAAATGGAAGTTTGGAACCACCAGGAATCTTCCTAGAACAGGCCGCCCGCCAAAATGAGCGATCGAGGGAGAAGGGCCTTAGCCAGGAAGGTAACCAAGCACCCGATGGTTGCTCTGAAAGAACTCTGGAGAGAGGAAAACCTTCCAGAAGAACAACCATCTCTGCAGCACTTCACCAATCAGGCCTGTATGGTAGAGTAGCCAGACAGAAGTCACTCCTTAGTAAAAGGCAAATGGCAGCCCACCTGGAGTTTGCCAAAAGGCACCTGAGGGACTCAGACTATGAGAAACAAAACTCTCTGGTCTGATGAAACAAAGACTGAACTCTTTGGCCTGAATGCCAAGTGTCATGTCAGGAGGAAACTAGGCACCGCTCACCACCTGGCCAATACCATCCCTACTGTGAAGCATGGTGGTGGCAGCATCATGCCGCGGGGATGTTTTTTAGTGGCAGGAACTGGGAGACTTCAGGATCGAAAGAAAAATACATACAGCAATGTACAGAGACATACTTGATGAAAGCCTGTTCCAGAGCACTCTGGACCTTAGACTGGGACGACAGTTCATCTTTCAACAGGACAACGACCCTAAGCACACAGCCCACATACCAAAGGAATGGCTATGGGCCAACTTTGAATGTCCTGGAGTGGCCCAGCCAGAGCCCAGATTTGAACATCTCTGGAGAGATCTGAACATGGCTTTGCACCGATGCTCCCCATCCAACCTGATGGAGCTTGAGAGGTACTGCAAAGAATGGGAGAAATTGCCCAAAAATAGGCGTGCCAAGCTTGTAGCATCATACTCAAAACTACTTGAGGCTGTAATTGGTGCTAAAGGTGCTTCAAAGTATTGAGCAAAGGCTGTGAATGCTTATGTATTTGTGGTTTTTTTCATTTTCTATTTAATAAATTGCAAAGATTTCAAAACTAACTTCTTTCATGTTGTCATTATGAGGTATTGTTTGTAGAATGTTGAGGGGAAAAAATGAATTTAATCCATTTTGGAATAAGGCTGTAACAAAACAAAATGTGGCAAAAGTTAAACGTTGTGAATACTTTCTGGATGCACTGTATATATACACACACACAAATATTAAAATACGTATTTAACATGCACCAATTTTTCTCAGTAAATATATTTCTAAAGGTGCTATTGACATGACATTTTCACCCTGTCGGTAACAACCATGCAATCCATACAAAGAAACCAAAATAAATAGGTTCAGAAATTAAGTTATGTGTAATAACACACACCATTGGTTTACCATGCCACAAAATGGTTTACGTTGTTAACCCATGATTTTAAATTTTTGCTCTCTGGGTCCTGATGGACAGATTTCTCTCCATTTCCTCCCCCAAAAACACAATAGTAAGAAACTACCCCAAGTGTAGCAATTGGAAGAGCTAACCTCATCATAATGAAGATTTTAGAAATAGAAAGTCTTCAAGGAGAGATGAAAAGGCATTTTCTAAAACAACCAAAAAACCCAACCAAACTGTTTAACCGCTTAGGCATTCTCTACCAAGTTGCTGTTTCTTTAAAGGAGGTCATCACATCAACCCCCAGTATTACCAACATGAACATTTAGTGATAATCATGCCTGTCTTTGCAAAATTACCAATTTCAGCAATTTCCATTAGCTAGCTCACTTGAGCTGAATGACAGTAAAACAGCACTCAGGACTTTCCAGTACAGTGGGTATGAACTCAATCAGCACAATCAAGTTTAGATTTTTTTTAATTCTACATTATATATCATATAGGATTCAGTTTAAAGGAATTGTAAGTGGCAAGCCCAGGGATAACAGATAACAGGCTGTTAGTTTCTGCAAATGAAATGACTGTTACAGCAAGAAAAAAAAAATAAATAAATAAAAAGTTTGAACACTGTGTGGCGCTAGTTGCTTTACTTTTATTTCACACAGAGACTGAAAGCACCATCAAGCACTAATTCACAGCAGTGATTACTTAAACAACCACTTGAACAAACAAAGCTTCTTGCCAAGAAAAAAAAATTGCATCATGAGTTCTAGATAATTTATAACAGCAAGATAAGGCATGGTTCAAGCAGAGATGATAGGATCTGCAAACTTTCTAACAGATAGAAAGAGGAAAAGCATCAGATTAAAAACAAAAAAACATTCCTTTATGTCAACTGATAAAAGTTTATATCATTAGAAAGTGATAGTGCAAGTACATGTTAACTTTTTTTGTACCATTCCTATAGTGGAAATGCTCATATATGGTGGCCACAGACCAAGGGTGCTAGGAAGTGTCTGTGGAGAGGTCCTGGATTCCAGTGGTAGCCGCAAGTGAAGGTCTTTGTTTAGCTCACAGAACAAGGAAGGGGGGAAATGTGCTGCAAATACCTTTATTGTCCACTTTTGGCTGGGGGAAAAAAAAAAAAACAATAGCAACTGGACAAGAGTTTCTAAGATACAGTTGTCATCACCCAAGAAGTTGGCAGTGTGAGTAGCTCCTTTACAGATCATCACCTGATCAGACTAATAAGACATATGTTCTTGGGCAAACGAGAGATCATTTGGATGTGAAGGCACAACCAGGGCCCCTTTAAACTGAACCTGTGGCCAATCCATGTACACTTTGTATTTCTAGATCCATAACCGTAAATTAATTTTTGGACCAGTTTCGCACCTTTTGTACGTTTATAGCATGTTTCACTGCACATTAATGCCCATTATTGTGTAGACTGCCAACACAGAAAACATCTGATCTTTTTGGGAATGCTACACTACATCATACGGAAGCACACTGATGCACTGCAACACATCTGCGTTGTTTTAGTGCATTGTTGTGCAATTCAAAATTAATGGAAATGCAACACACAAACAAGAACATTTTGCTGTACAATTACATGCAGGACCACCTATGTTACCACAAAGCAAATGTGTTATGAGGCCTAAATCCCTGCCTCCCTGACCTCTGGCTGCAGGCACTTTGGAGAATTCATCTCAAGTTATGCATGGGCATTTGCTTTTCTCCTCTGAACTCCACAGCCTTTAAAAAAAGGCACCTAAAGCCATACACGCCACATGCGTTTAGGTACGTCAAATGTTTGGGAGGTATTGGATTCCACTAGCCAAAATAAATTTATTCTGGCCATTGGAATGTATGAACGCTCATATGCTAGACGCGTCTAGTGTTTTAGGTGCATTTTGTTTCCTGCTCAAAAGCAACTTTTAACGTGCTGGTTCTTCATCCTATATATGGTCCTCCTCTAATACACCTGTAAACGCCAATCTATGCATGGACACGTAGGCCAACAGGGGTGCGTTTACAGGTTGAAGAGGGAAAACAAAAGGCCTGTTCTTTAATTCCACACAAAACAGATTTCAGTTTCAGGCAACTAGCGGCAACTTCATTGGGGAGATCTCCACCGCTTAGTGCAGAGTTCCACGCATCCACTGTTGCCAAAACAAGGGAGTGTCAGGCTTTTCATAAGATTGCAGGAATATTAGAAATATTTGACCAGGCATCATGTCTACTAGCAATCATTCAACTATAGGAATATTCCTAGCAACAGGATCACTAAACACTTCTTACCTTCCACAAGAATTGTTCACCTACTGGCAAAAGTGTCAGCATCTTGTTAGCCAGTGCCACCTCCTAATTTGGCAGATTGCTGCCAGTGACCAATTCCTTGTGTGACATGAAATTTAAGCAGCGCGGGAAAGCGTAAAAAGGCAGGCAATACTTTATTCTGTTGCATACCCATTTGGGATGTAGGAGGAAAAAAAAAAAAAAAGACAGACACAAAATCCATACACTGCAAATTCCCTTTAAACACAAAAATAGCATCCACTTACTGGATTTCTGTAAACCAACCCCCATCAGAAAATGACCAGCAAACATTGAATACAAATTGTTCTTTTGAAAACAAAAGTCTGACACTGGCGTCTTTCCATTTTTGGTATATGGATTGGTATTATTGATTTTCTTTAAATCAATTTTTAGAAGTTTGTGACTACATCCATTACAGACTGTATGGACATTCCTACACAGGTCAAAAAGATGGGCATTAAATGGTTTTGTGTAATCAAAGTATTCTTCTGTGGAATGAGTGAACCAAAATCTACATCTCATTGATTACAATGGCCTTGTCACTGACATGTCTCCAGTCATTTCCAATATCAAACAGATCTTACCAGTTAAAGAGTACTGCATGGAACACATGACTAATCTTTTAAATCAGTTTCACCAATATTGCTCCTAGACAGAATTTGCGCATAGTATAGTCATTTATTGTGTATAGGAGGGAAAAAAAAAATTGTTGCCCAAACCAACCGATTTGTCACTTCTAGTA